CAATAGATCATCAATTTAGAAGACTCAAATGAGATATTAAGAAGCGTTCATAAACATGGTAAAAAACCGTGTATGTGAGAATGCTGCAGGAAAACAATACGGATTCCTACTTGAAGTTATTAAAAATTATTTTCCATGGCTGTTACTTTCTGTGTTTTAAGGATCTTGAAAGGAAGAAAGTCCAATCATCCATATCACAAGGCTTTTAGTGTCCCTCTTATCAAGTGCAAGAGAAGACAAGCCTAATTGATTACTGGTAATTTGGCTCTCTTTTTAGTAGGTCAGTAACACTTGAAAAGGCAACTGACACTGCTGAGAAGCAAGAAGAGGTTTCAGAGTAGGTGCTCAATAAAAATTCATTAGGGGGGGAAATCATAGATACTTTGAAGGCTGTAAGGTTTTTCTTTCTATCAAGGACAATTATTGGAACAAAAGAACAGAAGTAATAAAATCTTTCATTATGATAGACTCTAGTTTCCATGCAGAAGCTCATATAAAATACAACATTGGCAAATAACCTTTAACTCTCAGTGGCTTTCAATACTCTTCAAAACAAGTTCAAGTCCAAGCAAGATTTTAATGAAGCTCTTCAATATTTCCCAAGTTGATTAACTTCCTTTCGCTTCCTCTTACTATCTCAGATTTTTATCTTCTCTAGACAAGCAAAATCATCATCATGTCCTTAATATTGCTTAAAAAATCATAAACAACTCTGACTGATTTGCAGTCTGCCACCTACTAAGTTGTTTTCTTCCTTTTTCTCTACAAAGCTTTTCATAATCCAGGAAAAGAAGTCAGGATTCCCTGATATCTTATCCTGGACAATTTGGACTCAAAACTATTTATGAAAAAAAGGAAAAAATTAAAGACTGTATGACTGCATTTTTTTTTTTTTTTTTTTTTGCTAATCTTGTCTCCATGGAATAACAAAGAGGAATTCAGTAAATTCTCCAGAAGCTTAACTTTACTTGAAGATTTCCTATGGTTGGCCTAGAACCTCCCATATGTTTCCAAAAGCTGAAGCAGGAAAGGTGTCCGCTAAGCCCATGGGAGGGGCAGGAGAAGGAAGCCAGGTGGGAGAGGATGGGAGCTGTGCTGAGAAGGGGCACTGCACGGTTGACTGACAGCTGGGCAGAAGGGCAGAAGTGGGCAGCAGAATGGTTAGGAGTGTGTCCTGAGGGCTGGGCTGCCTGGGTATCTTGACTGATTAACTGTGAACCTTGGGCATGTGCCCTTAAGTGTTCATGCCTCAGGGGTGTGTCACATAGTAAAAAATAGTGTGGTCCCACTTCAATGTCCAGGTAAATAAAGACTGAATAGACAAGGTCAAGAAAATATCTAAAGAAATACTTTTACCTTGTAGCACTATCATTTTATTTGAAATCTTATAAATTTTACTTTGTTTTTTAAATTTTGAGTTCTCTGGGAAGAAACTATAACTCTCACTTCCTAAAGCACATTCATAATCTTTTAATATTTATAGCACGATAGAGTCTATGAAATAAATTTAGCATTTTCCTATAACTTGACATTCTTCTAAATTGGACTTAAGATTTTAATGACAGTGGCTTTTTTTTTTTTTGGTTCAATAAAATGTGTATCTCATAAATTGCTTGGAACATGTTTAAATTGTTTCCTTCTATTTATAGTTTATTTAAATAGAAGTTTTAGGAATAATAAAACTCAGAAGCACTTTGTGAGTCAATATTACTTTGAAAATTTTACTTATTGCAATTAGGCAAGAGATTATAATCAGTATCATAAATACTAAGAAATAATGAAATAGAATAAAATTTTATTTGTAAGTGATATAATTATAAAACTAAAACCCTTGAAATAATTAGTTAATACAATCTAAGAGAGCAACTGATACAAGAATTAATGATTTTAAATTCCATCACAATAATAAAATTATAAAATGCCTATGAATTTAACAGAAGTAGCACAAGATGTAAGAAAGAAAAGGTGCAGCTTTAGTAGTAGAATTTAGTAGGTAAATTTTTTACCCTGAATTTGGAAAGCGATTAATATGTACATTACCAGTGGTCCAGAAAATCCAACAGATATATGTCCATATGGGTACCAAAAGTCTTGCTTATTCAAAACAGCAAAATAGTTGACATTAAGTTTACAAATAAAAATTTGAAATAGTCTAACTGCCCCAGCATCTGGAAAATGAATAAATAGTGATGTAATCATAGAGTGAAAACTATGCATCAGTGAAAATAAACTGTCGTCATACTCAACTGCATGGGTGGAGATGAGGAACATAATTTGAACAAAACAGCCGGACATAGAAGGGTGCATGTTTTATTAAAACACACACCTACACACTCACATGCTCATGCATCCCAAGTTAAACTTACCTCTTGGTTTCTTTGTTGAAAGGTGGGAGCACCAGAGAGACTTCTTTGGTATGAATCAGTTTCTAATTTTTTTTTTAAAAATATTTATTCATACAGAACTGGAGTACAGGCCAGAGATGCGGAGGGTGAGAGGATTCACCAGAGACAGAGCGGGGAGCAGAACAGGCAGATCAATGAAGTACACTGCTGAGGGGAGCAGCGGGCGGGTCAGGAGAGGTCTGCCACGCCATGTAGTCACCTCCGGGGCAGGCGGGAATCGAACTCATGTGGAAGTGGCTTAAGCTTCTTAGTGCTGTGCTTTAACCTGCTGTGCCACCAGGGAGGGCCCTCAGGTTCTAATTTTTGATGTGGTGACTGTGCAAAAAAGTAATCATCAAGTTATATATTGATGACTTCTTTTTCTGTCTGTATGTTATACTTCCAAATGTATTTAAGGAGTGGTGTTCATGTGTAGGAAACTACACTATTTGTGAGAGCAGGATAGAGATGGAATTTGAAATTGCTTAAGGGTTTTTAAATTCCTGTGTGTCTAAAAAGGGAGGAAAAACACAAGGGGGAAACATTTTAGGGTGATTTGTCTTATCTTGAGGAAGGATAAGATTTAATAACTCCTAGAAGACAGCTGTTCTTATTTTATATTCTTGTTCCCAAACTTTCACTGTGTTCTCCATAAATAAACTCAGCAATTAATCTTCGTCCTTTGACAAATGGTCACTTGCTTCTGCAGGTTCATGGTCAAGGATCAGAAGCCAAAGTTCTCTGTCTCTAGTATATATATAGATCATGTCATGAACATCTTTTTATCTTTTTTTTTTTTTTTAAGATTATTTATTTGTGCATACGGAACTGGGTACAGGCCAGAGGAGCAGGGGCAGTGAGAGGCTTCACCAGAGACAGAGTGGCAGAACAGGCAGATTGAGGAAGTACACTGCTGAGGGGAGCAGCAGGCAAGGCGGGAGAGGTCTGCGTGCCATGTGGGTCACTTCGGGGCCGGGGATCAAACTCACACTGAGGAAGCTGCGGCCAGCTTCGCAGTGCTATGTCCTTACCAGTTGCACCACCAGAGAGGGCCCCTTTTAATGTAATGTAAAACCAGCCTGGTCACTTTTTGTTTTCCATCTTTCATATGAGAAGAAGTTTTTAATAAAAGAGAACAAGAAATGTTAAAAAGGTAAAATGTAAATACCCTTCGACTAAACCAGCCACCTTGGAGAACTAGTAGAACAGAAATAAAAGCACCTATACCAAACGTGCTATTATATAGACGAGAAAGAAAGAGAAGCATGTACAAAAGCTAGATAAAACCTCTATAGAGAATGATTGAATAAATCAGGAAAATCCCACGCATTGTTATGTAGCTATTAAAAATAATGTGTTCACTGGTGGCAATAATACATAGCTTTTATTGAGCACTCATTCTGTGCTAGCTGTATTCTCCCTGTTTTACCTGTATAAATTCAGCCCATCCTTATTACAATAACTTGATTTAGAAACTATTATTATTTCCATTTTATAGATGAGAAAATTAAAGTTCATACAGATCAGATATTTTGCGCAACCTCACATAGCTGGTATGTGGTAAGGTCTGAATTTGAATGAGATAGTCTTACTGCAGAATGCGTGCTCATAACCTCCCTGCGGTTATTCAGCTTCTCTGAATTGATTGGGGATGGGTTCCTCTTACATATTAGAAATTGAAAAAGGAAATAATGGAAACCTAGTTATCATCTTTCAAAAAGGAAAGAAAAGAAACTCAAATGAATGTGTATAAAGATTTTTAAAGTCTTAGAAAGGTTCACAAACTGGTAATCCTGCTTACTCCAGGACTGAGCAAGAAAGCACGTTATAGTTTTTTCCTTCTTTTCACCTCTTTATTATTTGAAGTTATAAAAAGTGCTGGAAAACCTTTGTCACTTTTTAAGCTTTCTTGAGAATAAAAGTTTCATTTCACAAGCAGACAAGGAATTAGTAAGACTTGCCCAATATTTTTGAACAGGATTGGGACCCATAAGTGTCTGATTCTCTGGGGCCATTCTCCATGACGCCTGCCTCCTCATTTCCAGAAGGTTCTGAATCTGCAGGAAGTGGGCCTAGCAGTGTGTGCTTCCTTTCCTTCCTCTCCTCTCCTAGTCTCCTCATCTCTCTGATGCTTCTCCAGATCAGATAGCCACGAAGCCGTCCACACTGTTAATGTTCCATCCTGCTTAGATGACTTTGTCTGCACCATCCACACTCAGTGTGGCATCCTGCTCTTTCCGAGAGTGAGCTTCAAACATAATTTGCTTCCTTGCAGCAGCACGTAAGCTCTAGAGTGGAGGGAGACTTGTCATCCAGTCCACCTCTTATGGACAAAAGCACCTCATTAGAAATAGGGCCATGAGTCCTACCTTTAGAATCATGTATATCATCCCATAAATACAAATAATCCACACTTGTAGGATTAATAGAGTATGTAAGCCTCTTAATAGGAGATAAAATGACGTATGTGATATTTCAGTAGTGTGCAAACATGAAACTTTGTGTCTTACCTTGGGTAAGGATTAAATATCTTCCACTATTTTACAGTATTTGTGCGAACAGATATTTACATCTGTCAACAGTGTATTTCATGAATACTTTTGTGCTTCTTCTCAGGTTCCATTTGATATCTCGCTGCCGTCGATATTCAATCTTGAGAGACTTTTTGATCTTGCTAATGGTTGTATCATATCAGGAGGAAGCCTTTTCGACTGGATTGTGTCAATTATTCCCTGAGCATCCTTTGCCTGTTAATCTTATACAGCATCTCATCATTACTGTTTTGGTGTTTTTTTTTTTTCTTGGTCACTAGTAAGTTTTTTGAAACTGTCCTTTTATATTAAAAATAAGATTGTTTTCTTACACATGCTATATTTCTTCAAAAATTACCATTTTAATTAATGGTTTAAATTATATTAGAATTAAATGAAAATGCTATTTCATTTTATAACTATCCTACAGGTTATTTAAAAAAATGTGCTTGTGCCTTATGACATTATTCTTCTATTTACGTAGTTGCTTAGATTGTCTCTCAATGTGTCTCTACAGGAAGACTGAATTAAGTCAGTGTTTCTCAAGTGAGAGCAGTTTTGACTCTTGGGTGACATTTGGCATTGCCTGAAACAGTATTTAATGTCTTCAGGAGGAGAATGGCATTTGATGGCTAGAAACCAGGAATGCTGTTAAATAGTCTTATGTTGGGGCATGGGGAGAGGGGGGACACAGCTGAATATCATCTTACCCAAATGTCAATAGATCCAAGTATGAGAAATTCTGGGTTAAACCTCAATATGTGGTCGGTTTAACTTTAGAAGTTTGTTTATGTGACTTGAGAAGAAATTTCCAGCAAATAAGATCTTTTACATTTTGTACTTCTGAGAGGCAATGTTGCATAAATGTTAGATCTTGGGCTCTGAAATACCATGCACCCATGTTTGAATGTAACTTCACCACTTATTAGTTCTGCCACTTTGGGAAAGTAATACATTTCTCTAAGCCTTCATCTCTTCACCTTCACAATTGGAATATTAGTAAGATCTGTGTCAATTAAATTGAGATGATATAATAAGGCATTTAGCACAACACCTGATGAAGTAATAGTGATTGTTATTCTGCCAGATTGGAAGAATGATGATATGTCTAACCCACTTTGTTAGTATAATCCCTGAAGGCTTCTTACTTGCTGGCCCACTTATGGATACTAATGCCAAGATGAGAAAACTAAGGGTAACAGAAATGCGTTTTTCTAAAGTAAAATATGTTTAATGAATTGCCCTTTATCCTGACATGGATTTTCTGCTTCCTTTTAGTGTGAAAATGTCCTTTCTTTTATGAAATAGTGCTAATAGTAGTTAGTAACTAACTTATTTAACATTCTCAATAATAATTTTTTTAAAACTAGCAACCTTATGTTGGTCCCTGATTATTTTTTATTTACATATCCATGTAATTGCAAATAATGGAAACAGCCAAGCTAGAATTGTCCTCGAAAATTGCACATACAAAATAAGTCTTGAACAGACTTTTAGTAATCAGAATTTTGATGGTTGAAAATTTGCTGTCCATGAGAATGCTATAGGACAATAAAGACATAAAAATAAAAACAAATAGGGCCCTCCCTGATGGTGCAACAGGTTAAAGCACCATGCTGTGAAGCTAGCTGCATCCACTTCAGCATGAGTTCAGTCCCCCGACAGGGAGGTGACCCATATGGCACCTCCTGCCTTCCCTGCTGCGCCTCTCAGCTGTGTACTTCATCCTTCTGCCTGTTCTGCTCCCCATTCTGTCTCTGGAGAAGCCTCTCACTGCCCCTGTACCTCTGGCCTGTACCACAGTTCCGTATGCATAGATAAATAAATCTTAAAAAAAGAAAAAAAAAAGAAAGAAAACAAATGAAGTAGACAGTCATGATGGAAAATAAGGTAAACTCTATGGGTGCAACTAGAATGAAGACTTCAGGTTTGGTGCAGTATATGATGGGGTAATTTTATGGTGACCAAGGAATAGGCAACAAATCCCTAGTGCTAGTAGACACTCAGAAAATGTTGCTTGAGTAAAAGGGATGAGTGAATGAATGAGTGGGTGAATGAATGAAATGAACAATGGCCTGGCTTTCAGAGAAGATGAGTTTTCAGTATGCAGTAGAAAGGGAAGGAACAAGAGCAAGAAGATGGGAAGAAAATGGTTCATGGTGAAAAAGAAAGAAAAAGGGACACAGTATTTAGCACCGAATTAAGAAAAAAACAAAAACAAAAAATCTCTTTTGACTATCCCCTCATATGAAATAAAATATTGAGGGCTTGCAATCCTTCAGCCAGATCTGGGGTTTATAACTTTCTCTGCTGGGAAGGGGGATGTTTTTAAGGGTTTGGTGTTTCTCACTGGGAAAGTTGAATTTACTTTGCAAAATTTAACTACCAGGGGTAAAATGACACAACGGGGTACCTACTCATTTAATATAGATGTGTAAACATAGCATGACTAATGACCAAGGCCATTCACTTCAACCTTGTATTAATTTCCTGACAATATATGTGTATAATCAATCTTCCAATCTTCATTGCTACTAAGTTTTTCTTAATGGATGTTTATCATTTTTCTTTATTTTAAATATTAGTGTATATAAAGGCACATTGTCTTACAAAAATCTAGAACAATGCCTGGCACAAAGTAAAGGTCTATAATATTTGAAAATGAATGATTGGATGGATGGATGGAATGATGGAGGATGGATGGATGGATGGATAGATG